AAGAGCCCCACAGTGGCTGGATCAGAAGGGATCTCTGCACTTTTTCTAAAATCTTTTCCTCCCCATGAACTATACCTGGATAATAAAAGATTTGTTTTTAACCCTACAACCATTTGGTTTTTCTGAACAAGATTATTTCAACCCTGGCTTAGAAGAGAAGGCAGATCCCAGCTTCTCCTTCTCAGAAGAACACTGGAACACACACCCACCTTCTAGCTGGGCTTCAGCTTTTTAGTACCACAGGGCTGAGAGTTGAAACAGCCCTCTCCTGGCTAAGAAGCCCACGGCAGCATGGTTTCTTTCCTCCCCTCCCCATCTGCTTCATCAACCCTGCCCTCCCTGTCAATATCCATACCCTGCCTGAGCCCAGCATCGAGGCTCAGGAGACAGACCAGCCATGTGGTTGTCCATCCATAGGAGATGGAGGCGCCATCAGAGGCTGGCAGCCAGGGGCCACTGCAAGAGCATCACCCAGACACAGGTCAACAAGTCAATTGAGATCATGAGGTGGGGCTAAAAAGATAGGCAGGTTTCCCGCCCCTTCTTCCCAGTATTCCCAGAACTTGAAGAAGGTCAAGTGAGCCAAAGAGGTGATTCAGGAAACTAGTCCCCAACTTTGAAAAAGTCCCAAACAACAAACCCAGGACTTCCACCGCACTCATGCTAACCTAGTCCAGCCATTTGCTCAAGTTTCTTACCCGATGTGGATGCAGCATACGTGGCATGAAAACCACCAAAATTCAGTGCGGAATCAGAGACGAACCTCAGCGTCAGGGCACTGCCAAAGGACGTGATGGGGTGGGGCATGGAGGTGCCACAGTAACGGCCTAAATAACAAAGATGGTGACAAGAAGAATGAACGGTGATCTGGCAGAGGTCACAAGCACAACCCTACTAGAATCACCAGAGACCCAAGCACACAGAGAAGTCACGACCAGAACCATCTAAGTCAGAGTTGGTGTTTGAGGTAGTGCCTGAATATTTAAAATAGAGTTTAAATACAAGCATAGGAGAGAGGGTGATACACAGATAAAGAATAAGAGAGGGCCAGAGGAAAAACAGATGTCTTGGCTCCAAATGTACTAAAATAAGACACAGTAGGGACCTGCACAATTAATGCACTATTCCTCAGAGTTTCAAGGCACTGTAGGGGAAAAAGAATGGAAGCTGGAGCCAGGTGACCAGAATTCAACTCTCTCTCCGCTCTGCCGTTTACCAGCTACTAGATATGAGGCAAGTTGTAAATGCTCTGTGCCTTGGTTCTCCATATGAAAAGGGGCAAGCTGAAAATAATAAAACCTGTATCCCAAGGGCTTGAGGATTGAGTTCCTATTCAGAGAGTATTTAGAATAGTATTCAGCACATGGCATGGTATATAAGTTTTTGTTAAAAAGCATACTCTCATCCTTGGTCAAATGTTTATGGACAATTATCTCAGGCAATACAATGAGAGGTGTGCACACAGCATAGGGTGTTCACTGATT